ATATGAGGCTTTATACTTTTCGCGAAATCGAAATAATTATTGGTTATTATGTGGTGATCGGGAGTTAGAGTCACGGATTCTATTTTTTTAAAAAAAAATAATTATGTTAAATTAAAATACATTCATTTTTAATAAATTATTCATTTTTTTCTTATATTTTTTCTTATATTTATGTTTACCTGTTAAATCAGTACTAGGTGAAATATATTCCACTTTTAAAAATTCAGTCTCATCTTCGTAATCACAATGTGCAATCAAATAAACTTCTGAGAACTTTAATTTCCCATTGATAACATCTACGCAAACTTTATCATTTACTGTTATCCCAGACATTGGTACCAAGTTACCTCCTTCAAGAATAACCTTTGTGTCCAACTTGAAGCATTTCCCTTCTATCTCTTTTCTAGCTATTTTTCGTCCAATTTCATCTTGCTCACGAGCTCGCCGAACTTTATTAAATGTTTCAGTTGTATAAGCTGCAGGAAAACTATGAATAAATTCTTTTGCTTTTTCCATATTGCTTTTTACAATATTATCGTCTTTTGTGAACAAATCTGGATTAGGAGATATGATATATCGATATTCAATAGAACTAAAAAATGATTTCATCCTTTGATTTAAACAACATATAAACATTTTTTGATTCTCTGTTTGTCTTTTATTACATTTAGTTAACGTAACTATCATATTGTCAAGAGCTTGTTCACCGAGGAAGCTTTTAATTTTTGTCATTGTTTTTCGTTTATGAAAGGTTGGATCGTTTTCTGTTAAATAATTATGATATGTTATGGTGAATTATGATAAAAAAAGAATGAAGTGAAATAAATATGAAAAAATTTCAACTTACTAATAACAAACACAATTGTCTGAATCCCATAAGAACAATGATTAATTGCATCAGCAATATCATTTAAAGATTTGTCATTTTCGATATCTGCCTTATCATCAAACAAGCCTTTAAGAAAAAACATCCAAAAGAAATGATTTTAATATATATTTGCGTAATAATGATACGATATAATAAAGAATTAAAATAATTACCTGGAGTATCAATAAGATTGTAAGTACGATCTTTAATTTTAATTATTTGTGTTTGCGAGTTTTTGGTAATATAATTCTAAAAAATGAAAAGTTCGATTATTAAAGAATTATATTTTGAAACCATTCACACAAAATTCTCTAAACACATACGTTATGTTCTCCAACTTCAAATGGTCTATCGTCACCATGTAATCCTAATAACCAATTTCCGAATGTACTCTTACCAGAACCTGCTTCTCCTAATATTAATATGGCCGGATACTGAATTTTTAAATTATTTCCTCCGGCTGATTCATTTTTTGAATCCTTTTCCTGTACAGAAAATTTCTCAAGAGCTTGAACTTTATTAAATGTTTCAATTGTGTAAGCTGTAGGAAAACTATAAATAAATTCTTTTGCTATTTTCATATTGCTATTTACAATATTATCGTCTTTTGTGAATAAATCTGGATTGGGAGATATGATATATCGATCTCCAATAGAATCAAGAAAAGATTCTAACTTTGGATTTAAACATTTTAGTAACATTTCTCGATTCTCTGTTTGAATTCTATTACAATAAGCTAGCGAAACTATCATATGGTTAAGAGCTTGTTCACCGAGGAAGTTTTTAATTTTTATCATTGTTTGTTCTGAATGAAAGGCGCGATCTTTTTCTATTAATTAATAAATAATTATAATCTTTTGTAGTGAATTATGATAAAAAAAAGAATGAAATGAAATTAATTTAGTAAATATTAACTTACCCATAACAAACACAATTGTCTGAATCCCATAAGAACAATGATTAATTGCATCAGCAATCTTATTTAAAGATTCTTCACTTTTGACATCTTCACTAGGGTCAAACAAGCCTTTAAGAAAGAAACATCAAAAGAAATGATTTTAATATATATATATTTGCGCAATAAAATATGATAAAAGAATTAAAATAATTACCTGGAGTATCAATAAGACTATAAGTACGATCTTGAATTTTAATTAAGCGTGATTTACAGGTTTTTGTATTCTAAAAAATGAAAAGGTGAGATTATAATTTCAAGCCATTTATACAAGAAATTCTCTAAAACACAAACGTTATTGTCTCCAGCTTCAAATGGATCATCGTCATCACCTAATAACCAATTTCCGAATATACTCTTACCAGAACCTATTTCTCCTAATAGCAAGATAGCCGGATACCGAATTTTTAAATCATTTACACTAGTATATTTATTTTTTGCATGAGATAGTTCATCAAGGTCTGCTTCCTCTTCTAAATCCTTTTCTTGTCCAATTTCTTTAATTTTCACTATCAAATTCTTAATTTCCATTTGGCTGATTTCATGCTTTTGTTGAAGAATAGAAGATTTCTCACATTCCTCACGAGCTTGCCGAACTTTATTAAATACATCAGTTGTATAAGCTGCAGGAAAACTATCAATAAATCTCTTGGCTTTTTCCATATTATTACTTACAATTCTATTAAATTGATCTCTTTTTTGGAATAAATCTGGATCGGGAGATATAACATACCGATTTCCAATAGAATTAAGAAAAGATTTTAACTTTGGATTTAAACCTTTTAGTAACTTTTCTTTATCCTCTGTTTGTTTTAAATCACAATAAGTTAAAGCAACTATCATATGGTCAAGAGCTTGTTGTTCGCCAAGGTAGCTTTTAATTTTTGTGATTGAGTTTGGATCAAAATGATCCTTTTCTATTAAATATTTATAATATTTTATGGTAAATTATGATGATAAAAAACATGAATGAAATTAATGTGGTAAATATTAACTTACTAATAACAAGCACAATTGTCTGAATCCCGTAAGAACAATGATTAATTGCATCAGCAATCTTATTTAAAGATTTATCACTTTCGACATTTTCACTGGAATTAAACAGGCCTTTAAGAAAAAAGCCCAAAAGAAATGATTTTAATATATATAATGATATTGATATGATAAAGGATTAAATAATTACCTGGAGTATCAATAAGATTATAAGTACGATCTTTAATTTTAATGAAGTATGATTTAGAGGTTTTAGTAGTAATAGAATCCTAAAAAAATGAAATTATATGATTATTAAAGAATTATAATTTCAAACCATTCACACAAGATATTCTCTAAAACAAATACTTTGTTGTATCCATAAAATCCTAATAACCAATTTCTGAATGTACTCTTGCCGGAACCTGTCTCACCTATAATCAAAATAGCTGGTTCATTTTTTGTATGAGACATTTTATCGAGATCTGTTCCTTTAATTCCTCAAGGTATATTTTCGTGTTTTTTTTCTTTCAGGGCTGATTATATATCATTGATTCCAAGATTATTAATACTAATACTGCGGGGTTAAACACATTGCGTCATATGCTCTTTAGACATTTCTCACACTAGTAATAATAATTCTAACTCTCTTAGTCAACAAAAATGAAACTTCAATAGAATATAAAATTGATCTTATACAATACATGAACTTTTATTATCTCTTTATTAATTATATAAATAAAGATTCAGATATGGGTTTAGGTATACATCCTTTAATGCATCCGAAAATAACATATTGTCACAAAAAAAGCTCCGTGAGATTATTTTTACATGCGCATTGTTTATTTTTATTATAATTAGTATACAAAGCAAATTTTTTAATAGATGACGGCTACTTGATGTTTACCATCCTGTGAAACAATAATGCGACGAGTTTTCCTTCATTATAATTCCACCTCAGTTTTTTGGAACATGGTTGTGGGGACTAAATTCGAAAGATGGATAACCTTTGATGGTATCTATACGAATCGATATTATCTTACAAGGAGGTAATTTGTTGCATCTTCACAAATACACAATGAACCTTAAAATACAAAAAATGTCATCAATAATATTCGTGATAAAAATAAATTAAATTCAAATATAAATTTTTTGTACTCGTTTTTTCGGGCTTATGATTTTTGATACAAAGCATAGTTTACCTAATCTCGTTGGTAAACATTTTACCCACGCTGACACACTATAAATTTGTTATTACCAACTCAATTATTAATTTAATCGTCATTTCTGAGACATAACCTGATGACGTAATGATGTAATGAGCCTTATTTTTAGTCACAAAAAATGATCGGCGGAAACAAAAATTAAAATTTGTATTACATCAGAAAATGATAATATTTACATCTTTATTTTTTAACATTTAAAGAAATAGAATAATATTACTTACAATAAAACAATATCAATTACAAACTTCACAAATCTACAATTTACAATGGATTTTTTATATAACATGTTTTCAAAACTTTCAATAAATGCTCGAGAAAATCAACAAAATCAACAAAATCAACAAACTCAACAAACTCAACAAATCCAACAGAATTACCAGTATCAACCATACCCACAACAAGAATGTTACCAACAATTTCAATTACATCAGCAACTCCAACCATACCAAGATCAACCCCACCAATATCAGCTAGACTTCCAGTTCCAACAAGATCAATTCGAACAGTTCCAACAACGTCAACAACAAACCCAACAATTACCGTCACTACGACCTGATATCAAAATAAAACTCGAAGAGCCACTACCAGCTGATGATCAATATCAATATCCACAAAATCAACAATTCTATCAATCTGAACAATATCAATTTGGACTTGAACAATATCAACAATATCAAATCCATCAATTTGAAGTTGAACAATATCAACTATTTGAATATTACCAACAACAATTTGAATATCATCAACAGCAATATATACATCAACTTCAACAATCGCAATTCGAATCACCACATCAAAATGTTAGAATCAAACTTGAAGAGCCAGCCGACGAAACAGTCGATCAGCTTGACTTGACCGAAAGATTTAACAAATTATCATTCAATTTATATCAATAATAATATTAAAAATGAAAATAATATATGTTTACATATATATTAATTGTAAATATTGTAAATATCATAAAAAAAATCATTCGGTATAAAAAAAAACATTTAGGTTGGGGAATTTCAAGAAAACTACATTTTGTTCTTTATTTTTTCGTAATCGTTTTTTGAAATAAAAAATTTTGTTCAATCAACTCTTTTTTATATGATTTATTATGTATTATAAACTTAACTATTTCTAAAAGATAAAAAATCACGAATCCAACGATTATTTTCTAATTTTTCTTGATTCATTCGATTTGTCACCTGATTCTTTTACCCCACAAAAATGGAACTAATGATATCAAGGGGTGGCATTCTCAATTTTTGATGTGACAACAATGTATACGCTGTACTACTCCATAATTTGCTATGCTCCGAGAGATATTCAAATGCATCCCAAGCCTCGAGAAAATTCCAGCTTGTAAACGAAGGCTTGTCAGTAGGTTGGAGAGGATTTTTCGTGCTTAGCGTAAATCTTTTATATTCACATATTCACATATTTAGGAAGATCTTTGATTTGAGCAATTATGAGTCACGTCAAAAATTTCATTGGATATTCCAAATCAAACTGCGGATTTGTGGGCTGTGAAAGATTTATATATAGAAAAAAATGATACTTCACAAATCTTTATCAAAATTTCAAAATTGTAATTGTGTTTTCCAACATTTGAAACGTTTACACACCTCCAAAATGTCGCAAACTTGGTCAGTTTCCAAAGTTCGTTCGACTTTTATATCTTTCTTCGAGTCTAAAGGTCACAAACATATACCCTCCTCGTCAACAATTCCTTTCGAAGATCCTACTTTGCTATTTGCAAATTCGGGAATGAACCAGTTTAAATCCATATTTTTGGCAACAGTCGATCCAAATTCTGAATTTGGAAAACTCAAGAGAGCTGCTAATAGCCAAAAATGCATTCGTGCAGGTTAATTATTTTATAATAAAATTATTATCCCGTTATATGATAAGTACTTTTTTTAGATCAATCTTAATTTATTTATTTTAAATTTTTTATCATTTAAAAGGTGGAAAACATAATGATTTGGAGGATGTAGGCAAAGATGTGTATCATCATACATTTTTTGAAATGTTAGGTAATTGGTCATTTGGTGATTATTTTAAGGTACTTTTTTTTTTTAGATAAAATTTATTTTCGTATCTTTGATTGATTGTTTTAATTAAATTCAATATTTTTTTTCGCGTTTTTCGTGAAAAAAAATTCTTTTACAATATTAGAAAGAAGCAATTCAGATGGCATGGGAACTTTTAACGGAAGTATATAAACTTCCGAAGGATCAACTTTATGTCACTTATTTCGAAGGTGATAAAAATATGGGATTATCACCTGATATCGAAGCGAAAAATCTTTGGATCGAAGTTGGTGTTAATGAAAAAATGTTAGTTCCAGGAAATTCAAAGGATAACTTTTGGGGTAAATAAAATTTATTTAAATTGCATAATAATAATTTGAATAAATTAATTTATTTTTTTTTTTTTAAAAAAAAAAAATAAAATAGAAATGGGAGAAACTGGACCTTGTGGACCATGCTCCGAGATCCATTTTGATCGTATAGGGAATCGAGATGCTTCACATATAGTTAATAAAGATGATCCAAATGTTGTGGAAATTTGGAATCTTGTGTTTATGCAATTTAATCGCGAATCAGATGGCTCATTACGACCTCTTCCCAATAAGCACATTGACACAGGAATGGGATTAGAACGACTCGTATCAGCTATACAAAATAAATTTTCCAATTATGATACCGATATTTTTGTTCCATTATTTAATAGAATTCAAGAGTTAACTGGAGCAAGACCATATACTGGAAAAGTTGGGGAAGAAGATAAAGATGGATTAGATATGGCATACAGAGTTATTGCTGATCATGTTCGGACTTTAACTTTTGCAATCACAGATGGAGGTGTTCCAAGTAATGAAGGACGTGGATATGTTTTAAGAAGGATTCTCAGAAGAGGTGCACGTTATGCTCGAAAGAAATTTAATGTGCAAATTGGTCATTTCTTTTCGGATTTAGTGGATACCGTTGTTAAAGAAATGGTAAATTATAGATTAAACAAATACACGAATAAATGTTTATTAAATGATTAATATAAATTATATCAATTATATTTAAAAATTAAATATCTTAACATCATTTTCATTCATTCATTATTTAAGGGTGAAGCATTTCCTGAAATTACTAAAAAGATAGTAGATGTTAAGGAAATTCTTAACGAGGAAGAAGAATCATTCTCTCGTACTTTAGATCGTGGAGAAAAACTCTTTGATAGTTATTTACAAAAAACTAAACAATCCGGATCTAAAACACTTCCAGGGGTAGACGTTTGGAGATTGTACGATACATATGGATTCCCAGTTGATTTGACACGTTTGATGGCAGAAGAAAATGATCTTTGTGTAGAGGAAGAAGAATTTTTGAAAGAACAAGAGAAGGCTAAAGAATTAAGTCGGGGAGCTCGTAATGCAGGTGGAGGTGAACAAGAAATAGTTGTTTTAGATATGCATGATATTGCGAAAATTGAACAAAATAAAATTGCAAGTGTAACCGATGATAAATACAAATATCGTTAGTAAATTTTTATTGTTTTTATTTATAAAGGAATAATCAAAAGATATATAATATTTTACATTATATTAATTTTATTTCTTTCTTTCATTCTTTTTTTTGATATTATTATAGAATCAGGAAATATTAATGCTATAATCAAAGCCATTTACTATAATCATTCATTTCTTCAAAGTACTTCCGACATTCCATCCAGTAAAAGTTTTGGTATAATACTTGATCGTACAAACTTTTATGCTGAACAAGGTGGACAACAATATGACACAGGATCTATAATTATTGATGGCCAAGCTGAATTTATGGTAGAAAATGTTCAAATTTTTGCTGGTTACGTTTTACATATTGGATATATGAAATATGGAAATTTATCTATCAGTGACGAAATTGTTGCAAATTATGATGAGGTATTAAAAAAAAAAATGTTTTTATTAAAAAATTTTTTGTATTAGAAAAAATATTTCATTACAATCATTAACAACCATTTATAATTCCCATAAATAGCTTCGTCGTTGGCCAATTAGAAATAACCACACTGCCACGCACATTTTGAATTTTGCGTTACGTGAAGTTTTTGGCGATACGGTAGATCAAAAAGGTTCTTTAGTGGCTCCAGAGAAATTTAGATTTGATTTTTCATTAAAAGTATGAATCTATTTTTCATTGGAAAAAAAAAATTTATGAATAATAATTATATGTATGTGTTTGTTTATTTCTCATCTCCATATTAATCTATTTTTAGAGAGGAATTTCAAATGAGGAACTTGTACGCGTTGATTCAATATCCAAAGAAATTATTGAAAAAGATTGTAAAGTATTTTCTAAAGATGTTCCATTATCCGTTGCCAAAAATATTAATGGTCTTCGAGCAGTATTTGGTGAAGTTTATCCGGATCCAGTTAAAGTAGTGTCAATTGGATATGATGTTGATGAAATCATAAAAGATTCTTCAAATCCAAAATGGAGAAATGCTTCAATAGAATTTTGTGGTGGAACGTAAGTTTATATTTAATTTATTTAATTAATATTATTTAAATAATAATAATAATAATAATAATAATAAATAAATAAATAAATAAATAATAATTCAATTATGTATAAATTCAATTTGAAAAGACATGTAGCGAAAACTGGGGATATAAAATTACTCTGTATTTTGGAAGAATCCGGTATTGCTAAAGGGATTCGAAGAATTGTGGCGGTTACAGGAGAAGAAGCTCAACAGGTGAATAATAATAATAATAATAATAATAATAATAATAATAATAATAAAGGTATAATTAATAATATTATTATATAATATTAATATAAAATATTATTTATTTAGGCTCTTAGACGTGAAGAAGAATTTCAAATTAAATTTGATAATCTTTTAAAATTACAAGGAAATGAATTAGATGCATCGCTTAAACAAATATCTAAAGAACTTGATGCATCAAGTATATCCGCTCTGAAAAAGTCAGAATTTCGAACGAAACATGAAAAGATTAAAAAAACTTTCATAGAAGCCGATAGAGCTCAGAAAGCCGCACAAGCAAAATTAGTATGTAAAATATTCTAAATCATTATTAATTATTAATTATTAATTATTAATTATTAATTATTATTATTATAAAAAATATTATTAAATTAATTAATAGATCATCGATGAAATAAATAATTATTTCGAAAAAAATCCAGATAACCCATATTTTGTTCATTTATTAAATTCAGAATCCAACACTACCAAGGTAAATCACATTCACATGATGATATTTTTAAGTTTATATTCCGTGATATTGACATGATTATTATATTTAATTTAATTTATATTAATTATTAAAAAATTGATTATAGGCTATTTCAACTGCAATATCACACTGTAAAACTAATTTAAAAGATAAAGCCACTTATTTATTCACAATTGATGAAAGTACCAACCGAGTAAGCCATAATTGTGTTGTAGGACGACCTTTAATAGAAAAAGGGTTAAAAGCCAATGACTGGGCTAAAGTTGTGTCGGAGAAAATTGGCGGAAAGGTAAATTTTTAAATAGATTGATGATTGATTTATTATTATATTTATTTTATTAAATATATTAATTAATTAATTAATTAATTAACATTGATATTTTATTTATTGTATTTTTTATTTATAGTCTGGTGGAAAAGCAGATGCTGCTCAAGGTAGCGGAACCGAAATCAGTAAAATTGATGATGCATTAAGAGTTGCCGAACAATTTGCTAAACTTCGACTGACTTCATAAAGTAAAAAAAATAATTGAGTCTTAATAACAATATACTTCTTATTACGATATATTCAAGTTATATTTATTTTAATCCATTGTGTAAATGTTTAACCACATTTTTTTTTTTTGGTATTGAGTTATTGTACAGTTTATTTTTCATTATAATTCAAGAATTTACAAGAATTAATAATAATATTATTATAATCTGATATTAGATTCATTATTGCATTAGATTTATTTATCATTTTAAAGAGCGCCCCCAAAAAAAAACTATTAATAAAGCCTCTTTAGCAATATCCGCCAGAGTTGGATTTCTTATGTTTTATAAATATATTAAATATATTAAATATACCTGCGGGAGTAAAGTTCATGAAATTATCAGATGACTTAGATCCCGCATCCATAACAGACGCCCGTTAGTGGTAAAAATGAATTACAAATTATGATATCAAATGATGTAATTAGTACTTTCAATTGCGTTATTCTTTATTAAGTTGATTTTTGACTTTCGGAATAATCGTTAATGATTAGAGAACCGAAATGAATTACGAATTATTATGTAAATGATGTCAAATGATATCAGAAATGTCATCTGTACTTTCAATTGACACCATTCTTTTATTAAATCGAGATAATTACATTTATATTTTTGAATAAAGCATAATTAACGAATACATATATACCTTATAATTAAAGCATTAATAAAGTGCTCAAATGTTATATTTATACCAAACGCTTGTCCACGTACACGTTTACTTAGTAATACCATGTAGTCATGTAGTGCGTGCATCGATCAATTTTGACATATGTATACTCTTATTTTATTAAGCTAGTCAAATTTCATTTATGTTTATTTGTTTTTTTCCTAATTAGATTTTAAATGAAATCATTAATTTTACATTATCTCTTATCTAAATAAAGAAATATAAGTATAACATAAATAAATTAGTGTAAACAAAAATATCCGGACTTTGATTATCAGAATCGTTGGGAAATATGTTTAATTATTTTTATTATACATTAAAAAGAAAAGAAATGACGATATTTCTAATTACATCATGATTTCTTCAATCTTACAAGTTATCAACATAATACGATACGGTCGATGATATAATAAAAATGCAATTGACACAATTATAATGTAATGATACAATAATAATAATTTTTTGATAATAATTTTACGTATATAAATACCTCCCCTTTTATCTCTTCCAGAAAACACTTTTTAATCAGCTTTTAAAAAAAAGGAAAAAAAAAAAAATGTCTGAACGTCAAGAATCTCAAGCCCAGCCAGTCACAGCTGAAACTCACGAAGAAAGATCTGAAAAATCATACAAAGCAGCTGCACATAATCCTGGCAATACCCCCGAGGGGCGGTAATTATATTTTTAATTATATCATTATTATTTTTTTATTTAATTAAATTTTTAAATTGATTTTTATTTTTAGACTTCACGCGGCTGAAAAATTAGCCGAACTTCACGAAGAAAGAACTGGTGAAAGAATTGATCCACAGTATGAAGCGAGGTATGTGATTATATCTTATTAATGTTATTTAATTTTATTTTTAATCGTTATTTATAATTATTTGTAATATCTGTTATTAGTATTGGTGATGCAAAAGCGGAAGAACGAGATCGATCTTAAATAAATGTGATGCTTTCAAATCATTCAAATTATATATTTCCGCGAATAATTATAATGCAATTATTATTATTATATATATAATCGCTGCTTTGTAAATTTACAAATATATAATTAGGTTAGGAATTTATTTGAAATAAATATTACTTATTTTATAGTTTGTAAATAAGAATTTCCAAGGAAGAATTAAAGAAACTTCCAACATGAGTTATTTTTTGTTCGCTGTGCAATGATATGTCCAAGTTTTACAAAACTTTATCGAGTTCTTACAGTTGGTATTAATGCATAAATTATTATATAACTTTAGTCTCAAACTAGTGAAATGCAATATATATGAAAAAGCTCTTGAATGATGAATAAAAAGGTCAATCAAATTATAAAATTAATAAAAAGTGAAAAAAAAATACTGTTCGAAAATAATAATTCTTTTTAATGTTCTTATAAAATTCTTTTACATAAAAATTTACAATCAAAAATAATAAATTTGAACGCTATGATTTATTTATTCTGCTGAATTAATGGTCGTTAAAAGATTTGTATTCAAACTATGGGCCCCATAAACATAATTTAGCATCTTCCCCACCAGTAAGGAAAAGATTCGTCTAAATTACAATAATTGTATTTATTATATTTTTTATATTCTATTATAAATATTTTTTTTTATTTCAACAAATAACATTTAAGAGACAAACCTGAGGATTCCAGAAAACACTACGAACTATTTCAGAATGCCCGCCACATAAAGTTTGGCATAATTGTAAATTATTGACATCCACGTGTAATACGTTAACTTCTCCCCTACAAAGTGAATTCCCAATTAAATAAAAATTCATTGATAAAAACATAAAAACGTAATACATAAAAACAAAAAAAAAAAAAAATATGTACGTGTAAGAACCAGCAAATAGAAACAATCGATTTGTAGAGTAATCAAATTGACAATCTATAGCATAATCAATTTGTGCAATACTGTCGCTAGAGTCTTGTCGAATATCACCCAAATTATTAAGCATGTCACCCTAGAAAATTTTAATAAAATTAGGAACGTTTCTTTTATAAATTTTTTTAAAAAAATTTTTTTTTAACAAATTTGAAAGTTACTTCGGATGATCCCCATATACTGAATGTCTCCGTGTGAGTCAAACAATATACATATTCTCCGTTTGATCCAAAATAACCTGCCTTATTTATAGAAGAGCCAGAATTAATCACTCCGACCAATTCTTCATCTTCATTAAAGTTCTTTATGTCAAAGCTACATATTAATCCATCCACAGAACCGCTGATAAACCGCGAAGAACAATTTGGGTGAAATTGGATCTGAGTGATGTCATCACTATGAGATTTAATAAATTGAGCTTCGATTGAAGATGCATTCCTCAAGTCCCTAAAAGAATATACTTCATTTATTATAATTCTTTTTTTTTTTTTTTGTTTTACTCAATTTTAATTTTGATCCATTATTTTTTATTCACCAAAAGAATATTTTTGCATCGTTTTCATCAATTTCATCAGTTTCAATTTCATCAATTTCTGTTTTTTCAACAAGTTCTGTACCGGCTGCCAAAATTGTATCAGAACTGTTGATATCAAAAGACAATAAGGGCTCTCGATTTGGAGCTAAATAATAAAGTATACTGTTCGAAAATTGAAATTTTGAATTTGAAATGATAATGAATTGTTTTGATTAAAATTTAATAAAAATACCTAGAAGGATTTGTGCTGGTTCAACTTTTGATGCTCGCAAATCCCATATTGCGATACAACCATCTTTGGAACTTGAAATTAGTAAATGATTTTTGTGAATTTTTAATTTTGTAATCGTATCCGTGTGATATGAAAATTTTCCAAGTGAATCATTATTATAATTCCACCAAAAAAATTCTTGATCCGAAGTTGATGCTACACAAATATTTGTTATAGAAGCAATATCAAAAACGTAGGGTACTTCGTTTTCTTTCGAACTTAGTATTCTAGAGGTTTTCAGATTAATTCTTGGTATTAAATTTGGTAGTTGAGTTAATTTAATATTCATTTTTAAATATCTCGATCAAAATCTACAATAATTTTTTTTTAAACATCCAATAGAATTAGTTATCCGAGTTTGAAACGCCGATCAATTTTATACTTCGGAAAACGAGATATATTATGTTATTATAAAGTTATTAAAATTTTATTAAAAACTTAAAATAAAATTACATTTATGCTTATGAGTCAAAAAATATTATTTGCCATATAATATTATTCATTAAAATTTTTTTTATTTTATGCAGAAAAAAAAAATACGCGTGAAAAAAAAAATACATGTATTCACATTATTAGCGACGTAACTTCTTTTTGCTTCTTATATCGGCAACACTTTGAAAGCTTGCGTTGCTTTCTCTATCTGAATCCTCATTTTCGATTGTTGCCTCGTTATTATCTTCCGCGGGACTTGATCTTTTCCGCTTTTTGGGAGGTGATTTTGTTTCATCATCATCCACTGGCGCAGAACGTTTAGATGATGATGAAACCACCTCATTATTGATCAAGGAATTATCTAATATAAGTTTTACACATGATATTAATAAATAAACAAAAAAAAAAAAATAATATCATACTTAAATCCTCAATAATTATGTACAACATAATTTTACCTTTTTTGCCTCCGCCCTTTTTCGTGATATTGTTGATCCTGAGCAAGTATGAATAATAAGGTTCCCACTGTTTATCTGATTCAACCACAATTATTTCATTTGCTTCAATCTCTTGTTTAAGAAATGATTCTCTATAATTATTTATATCATAATAATATTATATAATTATTAAAGAAAATCGTGATAAAAAAAAAAATTAATTATATAAAAATTTACATTTTGTTCGCATCATTAAAATTAATTCCAGTTAATAACATGGTCAAAATTTTGAAAAATTTGATCACTCTTGATATAGCTTCATTATTACTAATGAGCCGATACCCGGATATAATAGATGTAATATAACTAATTCCTTCTTTATGTAATTCCACTATGTGACCAGTTTCTTTGCGTGATGATTTGTTCCCTCGAAACTGCAGAGCGTTTGAACAAAGGCGAGCTAGCCATGAAGTCCCATTAGTAGAATCAATGTGTCTTTCTACATAGAGTGAATGAGACTAAAAACAAAAATTAAAAATAAAATTAAATTTAAATTAATTTTTAGACAAACAATTATAAAAATCATTTTTATTTACCTTTTTCAACGAATGGATGAACACATTTGCGAATAAATGAGTTTCTCCGGATGAAATTCTTTCTTTGAATTCTGATATTAATTTTTTAATTACATCATCAAGATCGGCTCCAAGAGTTCCATATTGACAAATCACACTCGCCGAACGCGATACATGAAACCATCCACCTCTGACGCCACGTAAAAGGGTTCCAATTATTTCCATAATCTGAAGTCTTTCTTCAGGTTCAATAAATATATCAACATTTTTCGTTGCTAAGATATATAAATTGAAAAATATAAATTAAAAAATGTAAATTCAATTATTGAAACAAAAAATGAAATCGAATAATATTTATAACATTATAACTAAACATAATTAAATACCTTTTTTAACAGGTTTTTCGAAATCTTGTTCTTCGTCAATTACAACATTTTTTCTTTCTTTTAACAGTTTTTTTTCTGCATTATTATAAATATTTCTATAACTTTCAATTTCCTCCTCAACAAATTGTTCAATCCTTTCCTGTCTACCTGGACGACACTCAAGTTTTAATTTTGATAGTTCAGGAATACTGGAATGCTCAAATAAATCACTTGAAAAGAGCCAATAAATGTTTCCCAGTACTCGAAATGCCTGATTTTAACATTTAAAATACTTCTTAATATATGTATAAAAATTTATCTATAAAAAAAAAAGATATGTATGTTGACGTACCGCCAATTTAATGCTATGAGGCGCTTCCGATGGAACCGAAATACCAATATCATACATGGTCTGAGCAATTTGATTTCTTTTCGTGATGAAATTGTCCAAAGAATCAGGCGTAATATTTTTGGCATTTTCTTCTGAAGAAATATGTTCTACTTTCCATAGTAAATAATACCAGAGGAAATTTATCGCCGATATAACCATCTATTAAAATTATAAAGTAAGTTTATACTAAAAATAGGTTCCATCAATTTTTAAAGAATAATTCATTATGCAAAAAAATTAACCTTTTCTTCTTCAAAATTATTCAATAATCCTCTCCTTGTTAATTTGATGATATAGTTATATACATCCTTATTATTTTCTTCCGAAAAATCATCCATATTAATGACATTTATGACAGTAATTAATTGCTCTAGACGAATTAAAGCGACACTTAATGAATGTATTTGGTCGCTAGTGAGTTCCTCATCCAATAATTCCTGTACAATAAACAATTAGACTTTAGTAAAACCTAAAAAAAAAAAAAAAAAAATTAACGATCTAATAAATTTCGAAATTATTTGACGATATACCTTATTTTCGCATTCTTCAAGGAATGTCTTTACAACCTCATCTTGCAATTCTCCTAGATAGGTTTCTACTGTAGAGGCTAATATATCATATTGCTTCATGTATTGGAATGTTGCGGCGGCGTGATTAAGAACGAGAGGATGTGTATGCTTAAGATAAAGTTTCTTAATATCCTCAACTAAAAATTCGAATGCCTAAAAATCCGATAGTTATTTAATATATTCATCAATAATCTATGGTTCACCATTATATTAAATTCTTACTTTTAGCATGCGGAGATCAGAATACACTGACAAATTCATTAATTGAGGAACTCGCAACACTTCGACTATTCGCCCTGGATCAGGCGCATATTTCGTCAGAAGCCGGGGTAAAATTGTTATCATTGTTCTCGAAATTTCTGCGCGTCTCCCGGTTATCTGTTCATCAGCCTAATTAATATAAAAGAAAATTTTCAATAAAAATTTTTTGAAGTTGATTAAATAACAAAAAAAAAAAAATAACAAGCAGTAAAGTCTATTATACCTTTTTTTTGTCTTTCGCTGTGACACTCTCCACCAAACTTAGCTGTAAACATTTTACAAAAACTTGCACTAAGGCAGATTCCTCCTTTTCACTTAGACGATAACAATCTTCAATAGTATCGCTAGAATTTATATTATCTTGTGATTCTTGAGATTGACTTGTGGAAGAATGGTCTTTAGAAAGGTATTCCGCTAGTATATGCCATTCATGTAATATATCTAGATCTGCCCAAAGATCCTGGATAGCTAATCCTATTCTACTACTTTCTACATCGCCTATACTATGTATAAGAGAACCATCATCATATTCCATACCATCAAGTTCGTAATCCGTTTGTTCATTTATTTCGTTTATTTCGTTTATTTCGTTTATTTCGTTTATTTCAATTATTTCGTTCTCTTTTTGGATACCCTTTAGGGTTTTTCCATATTTTATCAAGAACTCGGCTAAACACTTGAATGCGATCCAATCATGTTTAGTAGAATTTATTTCTTCATTGGACCCACTATCAATATTTCTTTTTCGTTTAGTACCACTACTAGTCATCAAGGTTTGAACTTCTGTACGCTTCTCTTTGATAAAATCTTCTTCAAGAGATATTTTGACGAAAGACGCAATAGCCTTCCTCACCTTAGATATATCGCAATAAATAAGGAGTGACAATTGATCACGCTCATCATCATCCAACAATCCAATTTTATGAATAAGAGTAAGTATTTGGATACTAGATATGCGAACATTAACATCTGATTCGCGTATCGCCATTTCCAATAATCTAGGTTTGAACCTTTCGGTGAAATTACGTAAACCACTCACGAATGTTTCATTTTCGTATAGCTGTTCAAGTACTTTCAATGATTCAAGTCTTACAATAGGTGACTAATTATTAATAAAATGAAGGATATTAGATTTCGTTCATTTTTTTTTTAGAACCCAGTAAAATAATCCGAAAACAATTAATTTACCTTATCAGATAATTGCCAGCCAAGATATCTTATTATAGTGTCGCCCAAAAATCGATCTGGATGTCTGATGATCAAAACGCCTAATTCTTTAATGCATTCAGATCTGATAATGGGTTCCACGTCTCGATAACGATGAACAAATACACTATACAATAGATTAAAAAAAAAAAATTAGTAAAATGAATTTTAAGTTAAACAATCTAATAATAATATATAAATTTACCCATCGAAAAGATCATCAAAATACGAATACAGTCGATTTTTCTTCTTGTTTAAATCCGTAGTTTTTAATTGTAATTCTTTAATTGCCGTCTTTGAGGCTTTATTTCTATTTTCAGATTCTAATTGACGTGATGTAATGGACCACTCTTTGTGAACTTCTTGTGCAACTTCACAGATACAACTAAACAAATTAAGAGCAATCGTGGTTGCGGTATGACGAAAAGGACGAGATGGAGAACTAAAAAAAAAAAAGATATTACTTATATATGAACAATCATAAAATTAATATTACTGATATCTTTTTCTAACCTTGACATGGGAACTACCCAAGCTTGTATGGTGTCGAAGAAAAAATCATCATATATTACATCATATTTTACATGCCCTATAAGTCTGCGGAAGAAAATCAATAAATTTTTACGGAATTTTTTATATTCTTTAGCTTTCGAAATTAAGGGATAATCTGCTAACGGCTCCTGTTGACAAATGAATAGGTATTATTATCTAGTTAAAAAGATTTAAACAATTTTTGAATAAAAAATGAAATTTTACTTTTTTAAATACATCCTGTAATGTCTTAAGAACGTCCGGTATATTATCGGACTCTTCAAAGGTCTTCCTTTCTAACGTTTCGGAACATCCACATGACTGAATTGAAAATTTTTTTAAAAAAAGTAATATTATTTAATTTTTTTTTTCAAAAAGAAGATAAATAAAGAAAATATTAAAGCATAAAACATTTGGGATCACAGAACGAACCCGAATTGTGAAATTAATCAAGGTAAGCAAAGAGCCATTATGGTTGTCTCTTTCTCTCTTGTAAGTTTTTACCCAGTTAAATGCTGCATTTTCCAAAGAGGTATTTGAACTAAAAATTGACTCTAAATATATTGAATTAATGATAAATATAAAAATATCTCTCTATATAAAATATAATATAAATGTTCATACCATAAATTGTTTGACCGCTTTCTTCTAAAGGTTCTCCGCGTGATACATTCGTTGGAAATTTTTGTTTATTTGAATTTTGTGCTTCAGGTAAGCGAGTAATCTCTGATGAATTTGATGAATCATCTCGTAATTCCATTAAATTTTCAACTGAATTTTCTGGTGGTTCTTCTGGTGTTTTCCGAGTTCTTCGGGTTCTTTTAGTTCTTTGGACGACATTTTTCTGAGTAGTTGATGATTTTTTTGGTCGTCCTCGCCGCTTAACTCTCTCAGGCAGCGATTCAGGAGAATCATTTTCTGTTTCTGATGCGCCACTGTAAACGTTTGAATTCTTTTTATCGTAATCAACACGTCTAGTTTTGCGCGCAGGTATTGATACTAAAAGAAATCCTAAATTATTTAAGTTAAACTTTGATTATTACTATTTTAACTTTAATAATATATGAATAAATTAACCTACCTTCTTGCAAAAGATATTTCGGAGGTTTTCTGGTCCTTGTGGACCTTCTTAAGTTTGACGAGGAATCAGATCCTAAAAAATTAAAATTTACGAAATTAATATCCTCAATAAATTTGCTTAAATAAAATTTAATGATATAATACTTGTGGATTCAGTTTCAGCTTCTGACACTTTATCATGAACACTTTCTGATATAGAATCTTCCATAGCAATCATTGTTACGCGTATGTTTATAAATTTTTAGATAAAAAAAATAATTGTAGAAAGCAGAGGGAAAATAGGGAAAGTCTAAATTTAATGAAATTGTTACATGAATCGTTACACAATTATTTATATGTGTTTTACAATAGGATCAATTAATTTATTAAAGTTCATATGACATTACGCGTCATCACAGTAATCACGTCACAAAATTGAGAAGTATCACCGAGTGACTTAAAATTTATAAAAATTTATAAAGCGAATTTATGAGTAGTTGTTGAATCTATTCTCTCTAAAAAGAATTATATTCTTATGTACGTATTGCTTATACATAGAAAAAACGACGCGTTTTTCTCATTATAGTAATCAGGATCCTGGGAAATTTTCTGGGACACAAGGGTAATACATTTTGTTATAAGATTATTACCTATGCATAGATTATCTCGTCTCGTATAATTTTTGATCTAGACAAAGTTGCAATTTTTGATCAAATTTTCATACGTAGAATCTTTTCGAATATCATGTGATGACCGTTGATTTTCGCGTTTTTTATAGTTGTTACATTAATAATACTGTATTATTATTATCTCTCATTCTTATCTTAAACAAAAAAAATATTCTTTTAGCAGGAAACAAAATACAATCAAGATTGTTACCTAAGTGCAAGAAAGATTCATGATGTCTTGGTTAAAACATTGCTGCTTCCAGGAAGGTGGCTTTTGTTAAAACACCTGGAGGAAAATGACTACTCAAATACAGAGCCTTCAAAAATGACCAGTAACCCATGCAAAAGGCCAAATTTTGTTATGTTAGAGTCAGTTTAGAACATCCATAAGGTGACCTCAAATGATGGATCGCAGGACATGAAATTATCAGTGACATCAGTTCAGGACTCAATTGAAAGTGCAGGAGATTTGTTACCCTTTTGAATCTGAAAGAATCAAGAATGGTGATTATCCGAGTGGACTGCTTGGATCTGACCTTGTGAGCGGATCCTTGAAAAAAAGAGTACATGGCTTCTGGTTCTTGGTTTAGATGCTTGTATCAATGTTAGCATAACTGGAGAACTTGTTGAAGACTTTTACAGTGTTTGTGATGTGACATAAGAACCACGTTCAGTTGCCAATTGCAAAAAGAGAAAAGATATTATCCAAAGATTCAAGGGTTTCAAGAGAGAGTAAGGAAACTTCCAATAGGCAAAATATAATGCATCTACTTTTTTTCACTCAGAAGAAGCAACTGAAATTCAAACAATGGATGGAACAGTGTAATAGACATACAATTAATCTTTATCACAATTGAAAAAGTGTGTCAATTAGAACAAAAAGGATATTACAAATCAAAAATATAATATTTCAATACCTATCAAGTTACAAGTAAGTTTTATTAATTTGTATTTTATGTGAAAACAGGTCAATTGTCTTTTTTTTTTTTTTAATTTCCATCAGATACAGCTACATCTTTTATATTGCAGTCATGTGAGTTCACCAAATGGTGACTAGTACAGTATAATACTCCATCAGTGATTTCAACTTTGAATTATAGAATATTATCTCTTGACATCTCAAGCTTGACCTACTATCACTTATACTGAGATATTTGTAGAGCAGATATGACTGGAGTATGGTTTTGCAATTAAAGTATAAGGGCAACAGCATGTAAAATTCATTGATTTTTTCACAGAGAAGATCTCAATAATTTCGTTAAGCAACAAGCATATAATCGATGAACAAAAAAGTAATATTCTTACAAAAAGTCTACGTTCTCTTATTAATAATTACAAAGATGAAGTGAAGATGCAAGCAGCCGCAAAACTTCTAGCAAACAAGGCAAGTATATCAAATACGTTTTATGATGGAGTCAGTGAAGATGTGAACTAATGCCATACTAGAAAGAATCAACTGTTTGCTGGTTCTCTGATGTCCTTGAATGTATGGTAAAAGTTGTCCATACTAGGAGGAATTAACTGTTTGCTAGTACTCCGAATGCCTGTTTGGATGTATGGACTTGTCACAATTTCAATATCGGTTGGCCATACTAGGAGGAATCAACTGTTTGCTAGTACTCTGAATGCCTGTTTAGATGCATAGCTTACCTCAACCGATATGGGTGCATGGGATTAGAATTAGATTTATTATACATTATATTGCACTGTAGCTCACTTCATTTTTTCTTATATGGCAAACGCACTTATGGAAGTGAAATTTATGAATTATGGACTCTTATAGAAAAACAGAGATTGGCGCAAGAGAAATTAAATAATGAACAAGTAAGTCCATAAATTTAATTATTGTTCTTTTCAAATAAGTATTACTTACAATTTAATTATCTCCTCATCAAGTTTGATAATGTCTCAAGATATTCACACGCTTTGACTGGTGCTACAGTGACAAACTTGAACAGCACCATCAACGTTACTGAGTAAATGATTATTTGAAAGTCTTGAGTCAGAAACGATAAATTTAGCACAGTTTATGAGACAAGAATCAAATGTAACTTATAATCTGCAACCAGAGGGAATGAGGACACCACCACCCAGATTTCTGAACATCCTTCTTCATACTCCAGATAAGCGTCTGATGTTTATTTGGGTGAGTTTCATATATTCATAGTAAACATCTGATTTAGAGCACGTAAATCTGATTCCTTTATTATAGGTGCATTCATATAGGGTTTGGATTTGGATTGGATTGGTTTAGGTTACCCAAATCATGTTCGCATAAAATGGATTTGATCGGTTAATTCAAAATTCAATCTAGATTGAATTATTAATAATAAAATTCCAATCTACTTTGTGAGGTAACATTATGTGAACAGGATTGGATTACTGTTTGGATTCATCAGATCATATTCAATTCAGATTGGATGTTAGATTAATCCAATCCAAATCCAAATCTCTACGTGAATGTGCCCATTAATAAATATGTACGTTATATATTTTTTTTAATATTTAATTGTTTATATTTAGTAAAAAACCTGTATTGTATGATTTTTAATATAAAAAATACCTGTACTGTACGGTTTTTTAACATAAAAAAGTTCATACAGTACAATTTAGATTTTTGTTATATAGGGTTGTACTGTATTGTACAAATTTTGTGCAAAATTTATGTAAAATCGTTTAGTACAAAATAGCTTACAGTTCAGTATGACGATAAACTGTACGGTACGAAAAGCTATTTTGTACTGTACGATTTTACATAAATTTTGTACAAAAATC